TTTTTAAAGTGATGAATGGGAGTCAAGAGTCATCTTTCTCTCGCCTTTGCCTCTGAGGAGTTACAAAAATTGACCTAAACAAAAAATGTCTTACGGGATCTTATTCTGCCATGAAAATAATCTCTGAAAATTGAAGGCTCAAATTTTTGCTTGGTTGCCAAGTCTCTGAAAAACATCGTCAAAAATCGCTGAAAAGTCGTTGAAAACCGTGTTTTTCTGGCTTGGTAAGGACTCCGCGGAGGTACAAAAACATCCCTCAGCAAAATAATTATTATATCCTCTTATTCTACCATACATAGAGTCTACGGAGATTGAAAGCCTGATTCTCACATGCTTGCCAAGTCATGCAAAAAATAGCGAAAATCTATGTGATTTCGGCCAAATCGAGCGATTCGGCCTAACTGTGAGTTCCCAAAAGGGGAAATACCGCCCGCATTCAAAAAACTAATATTTTTCCCTAATCATCTATATAAATAGTTCCTAAAAACCGAAAATTGACTTCCTGCCTGGTTGCCAAGTCACCCAAAAAAAATCGATAAAATTATTGAAATATACGAGGCGCATTCGGCCGCAATCGCGTTTTTTGCATCCTTAAGGGCAGTGGGGGGCAACAAAAATATGGTGATCTAAAAACTATTTAGCATACCTTAAATGACTACTAGAAGTGAGTTATTACTCCAAAAATCAGAGCTCCAGCCAATCTTTATCATGCTTAAACATTGCGATGGAATCGTCGAAAACAGCTTGAATTACGTGATTTTTTGACAAAAATTGCAAAAGCGGCACCCCAAAAAATTTATTTTTCGAGGAACGCTTTGGCACACTTTAGTTTGATACCTAGGCGCAACTTCCCCCCCCCCCTAAACGTTTTTGAAATTCGAAAGTCCGTGTTTTTTGACTCGCCCTAAGGTAGGGGGCCCCCAACTTTTTTCTTTTTAATTGCAACCCCTATCTTGTGATACCTCAGTCGAAAGATCATAAAAAACGAAGTATTGTGGCGCAAACTGCAGATCAATATCTTACTTTTTGACCGAGTTATGATAGGTCCAAGGTCAAATTTGACCTATTTCCAAAAAATCATAACTCCGGTTCAAATTATCGTAAAAAAACGGGAAAATTTTCCAAATTGTGTTTGCTTTTAAGTAAAAATTGCAGAAACCACTTCGAACTAATTTTAAGGGGGGGTTCGGACCCCCAAATTCGTCAATTCAAAGGTCATTCAATTTTCCCGCGAAATAAGCCAATTTCCCCTACATTTGCCTTCACATTATCTCAGTAAAGTCAAAGTCAGTTCAACATTACGTTGGCATATCCCCAAATTTCGGGAAAAGTTAAAAAAAAAACGAAATTTAAGGTGATTAAATTTGATCATTTAAAGTTCAGTTTTTTGAACTTTTCCCGAAATTTGGGGATACGCCAACATAATGTTGACCTGATTTTGACCCTACTGAGATAATATGAAGGTAAATCTAGGGGAAATTGGCTTATTTCGCGGAAAAATTGAATGACCCTTGAATTGACGTATTCGGGGGTCCGAACCCCCCCCCCCCTCCTTAAAGTTAGTTCGAAGTGATTTCTGCAATTTTTACTTAAAAGCGAACACAATTTGGTATTTCCCGTTTTATTTTTTCCTTTACGATAATTTGAACCGGAGTTATGATTTTTTGAAAATAGGTCTTTGACCTTTGACCTATCATAACTTGGTCAAAAATTAAGATATTGATCTGCAGTTTGCGCCACAATTCTTAGTTTTTTATGCTCTTTCGAATAAGGTATCACAAGATAAGCGTTGCTATTTGAAAACAAAGTTAGGGGTCCCCCGCCTCCCCCTGAGGGGGACCAAAATTTTGACCCACCCAAAAAATTTGAGATAGGAACATTCCCAAAGTTTCATTTTTCTATCTCGAACCGTTCAAAAGTTAGAGGGGGGGGGCTGGACTTTTGGAACACCCTGTATCTTTATTACCGCTCATGCTTGGATCCTTGGTCTTTTTAGATCTCTTGTACTCTGCTCTACTTTATCGTAATGTATCTTCTGAGGAAATTAAAAAAAAATCCCATGATTTGTTCCATCTTGGTTTTATAAATCAAGCAGACACCCATTTGTACTAATTGCTCACATAAAACCAAGATGGAAAAAACTATGAGATGCATTACTGCTGAGGATGACATCATACACTATATTTTTTGATGACCAACATCTTCATTAATATTATGCGTTATAACTTGACAACTGGACAGATCATGTGCTATCTATCATCAATGCTAAATAATGCTAATATACACTATACAGTCTAAGACTACCAACACCAACTACCAGTCTACGACTGGCAAAATTGACCCATTTATACCTAAGATTTAGGAGCCATCATCAAAAATAGAAAAGAAAAAAAAATTAAACCATCAAGAGTCCGGATTTTTAAGGACAGGGTTCTATTACAGGAAAAAAGATCCCTGACTCTTCCAGGTTTTTCAGGTCAAAATGAAATTTTTCCTGGGATGTTTCACCCAGAAAAAAAGAAAGTTCAGAGCAGAATCTTGAGAATTCTGAGTCCAAGATCCCCTTACATGTAAAAATATCTGCTTCAGAATTGATTAAAAAGGACAGAACCATTAAAAAATATCGAAGTATTATAATTGATAACTAATTACGAATAATCAAAACGTATGTTTCATTTATGAAAGGTATTACTTGGGTGTTACCCAAAATTATTTGAATCAATTTTCTTCTTTTTACATATTAAGTGGTTCTGATGGATGTTACTTACTTTAAGACCGTAGCCGCTTAATGCCCGTTCCTTGATTAATACAGAGACATCATCTAGTTGGCTGTATACATTCTCGTCTTTTTCACTGATCATTTTAAGTGTGCGCCTACCAAATGTCCACACAACATGAGAACAAGGTGACCAGTTTAAAGTCATTCTCTCAAAAACACTATAATCTGTCAAAACCCCTGAAAAATTGAAAATTTACGATTAGTAACTCACAATTTTCCTCACAAAAAAGGGGGGGAAATAAATCTATTTAATTGACTAAGTTTTTTAATGGTCTTCTAAGCAGCATAATTTACGATTAGTAACTCACAATTTTCCTCACAAAAAAGGGGGGGAAATAAATCTATTTAATTGACTAAGTTTTTTAATTGTCTTCTGAGCAGCATAATTTTCAGGGTTTTCGTAATGTTCTCATTCTATGCTTCCCTAACTTCTTTTGCTTTTCCTGGGCTCAAAAATTTTGGAATTTTTTAATTTTCTCTGACATATGAACAGAACTTTCACTTAGATTTTTTTCCTTTTAATTAATGTTGACTTCTGCTAAACGTTGTTCACTTTCTCAGACTTTTTCAGGTTGCCTTACATTCCCTGACATTCCAGACCTGGAACCAATAGACTGGTTAAGAGTAGTCCATTTGATTTCATGAAACCTGAGACTTTCTATTCGGCATTGAAATCCGAAATGGCAATGCATCAGTGTCGGCCGCGATGACCGGACCACTCACTAGACACCCTCTGTTACAAGTGCGTGGGAGCTGTCGGCGAGACCCCGGGCCTTTGCCCATTCTCAGCAGCTGGGAGGCTGTCTCTTCACATGCGCCTACTGGGAGCGTTTAATGGGAGTCCCCTAATGACAGCCGCCCTTCCAGGACTTATACAGGGTTTAGCTTACCCGGATGCAACCGCCCGGTCTGGTACAGGTAGGGTGCGGAAACTTCGCGCCCCGATTAACCCACTCGGCGAAAATCGAGCCCAGAGCTTCGTTGTCGGGCCGGGATTTAGGCTCGCACTTGGGCGCGGTGTTGTTTCCGGGCTCTTGAGCCCCGATTAGTCGGCGACCCGCTCCAGGCGGAGTCGCCTGCCGTCAGGCTAGTACCGCGAAGGTTTTTGCTCGGAGGCTCTATCTCTGCAGGCCCTGGATTTCCACCTGCTTGGCCTAACCTAAATTTGATGTGGAAAACGTCTTCAATAAAATCAATTAAAGGAAACATAGGACTACAGAAAGAAATGTAAGCTCAGTAGCGTGCGTTCGCACTTTCATATGTTAATGGTCAGCACAGATTCTCTTCCAATTCTCGTGTATCTCCACCGCTCTTTGGCAATCCCTGCACATGATTAATCCTGTTTTCCTTTATTGATTTCCTATTACTGGACATCTCATAAACTTAGTATTGGATTTGGGGCACTCCTCTTGATGGGGGGGGAGGGATGTTTTATGCCTTCATGTATAAAGTTTACAACTAAATTTACAAGCGAATGGAGACACCTCACTTGCCTTGTTACTAACGTGAATACTTAAAAACCGGCGCTCCGCTTTGCTCCGCGCCGGTTTTTTGGGNCGCCCCCCCAAGCCCCCCCAGGACGCGCGCTTCGCGCGCGCTTTTTAGTTTGAGTGTCCATTCCAGTTGTTCTGTCTTCTTAAGCGACCCGCGCGTCCACCGCGGGAAGAGTGTATTTCCCGAAGGGGGGAGGGGATCAATCTGTGAGGGAATGAATTAAGAATTGAAACAGAAGTTGAGTTGTGAGCAGGTGAGCACGTTGTGAGCAAGAAGTTGCGTACCTTGTCGCGAGAGTGCGCGGCGAGCGGGAATCCCACTACTGCGCTGATTGACCAGAGACGAGAGTTGCGGACGGACGATGTACGAGAAATTGCCTACGTGGAGGCGGTCCGGCAGCAACATACCCACCGGCAGTCACCCGGAAAGCAATAGCACAAAATAGTAGTTGCGTACGTTGCCAGCGAACGCGCTGCGAAAAGTTATGACGGTTAAATGGTGAGATTTTGTTCAAGAACAGATCATTTAACCTGACCCACTGTGCGACGAACAATTTATCCAGCATCTTCCTTCCCTTGACCCACTGTGCGACGAAAAGTTTGTCCAAAAACTTCTTCCCCCTGACCCACTGTGCGACGATCAGCTTGTCCAAAAACTTTCTCCCCCGACCCACTGTGCGGCCCTGCTCCGGTCGGCTCCCCTCATGCCGCGCACCCCTCGCCTAAAACTTTCAAAGCTCGCCATTCTTAAACGGCTCGGCCGATTTAGCTCAAATTCAATACCAAATCAGTCCTAGGGGAGAACTACCACCTATAATTTCAGCTCACAATATTCATTTTCGCTCGAGTTATCGAGTGGACAAGATTTCACCTCCCCCCACTTTCGAGCCCCACCCCTCAAAATCTATTGCCTCAAATTTCAATTTTTTTCGCAGAATAGTAGTCCTAATGAGTCTCTACAAAATGCAAAAAAATTGGTCAAAATATCTTTCAACGTAAGAAAGATATAACCACTCAAAAATCGAAAAATCTTCAAAAGGCGGAAATACATACATACATACACACATACATACATACATACATACATACATACATACACACATACATAAATAAACCAACGTTGCTTAAAATTTACAGATCGTTTATACGATCAAAACTTGATTATGGTTCTATTCTTTATGGCTCCGCAAATCGCTCTTTACTTAAAAAGTTAGACAGTATTCATAACTCTTGCATCAGACTAGCTACTGGTGCCTATCGGACAAGTCCTGTCGTTAGTATTGAAGTTGAAGCACAAGAGCCCTCACTTCAACACAGAAGATATCAATTACTGGCAGGCTATGTCACTAAACTAGTGAGCCATCCAAGTAATCCTGCTATTGAAGATTGCTTTGAGGCGAGGGCTGAGATCCCATTCTATGATACCTTCTTTTCTAAGTTCAATTTTTCTGACGTTATTCCAGCTGCAAATCTCAATTTTCCTCCCTGGACCCCTCCTAATATTGAAATTCACCTCAACTCCTGCTCTTTATCAAAGTCCGATACATCCCATGCCGAATTACGAAGTAACTTTTTCTCGACATTGGAAAATTATCAAGACTATAAACAAATTTACACCGATGGATCCAAACTGGAAAACAGCCAAACAGGATGTGCTTTTATCACACAAAATGAGTCTAGATCCTTCAAGCTGTCTCCCATTGCCTCAATTTTTACTGCCGAAGCCTTTGCTATACACCAAGCATTAAATTTTCTTCAAGAGACAGAAGATAAAAAAGCCATTATATGCTCTGACTCACTGAGTGTTCTGTCTGCCCTCCAAACTGTCCCTGGTTCCAATCCACTCATTATCCAAATCCAAAATTCCCTACATCATCTTCTCTCCCTGAATTTCTCAATTGCATTCTGCTGGTGCCCGGGACATGTAGGCGTTGCTGGAAACACGGAAGCCGATACTCTGGCGAGAGAAGCCGCTTCATCTGCTGGCCCCTTCCTCCCCCTAACTGTCATAGCCGAGGACCTCAACAAGTACATCAAAGAAGAAATCGTCAAAAATTGGCAACAAGAGTGGACAGTGTATTGCCAACACAGAAATCCTCCAATGTCCGTATTCCCTCAACTTTCTGGTCTACCACGAGCAGATCAAGTAAAATTAACCCGGCTGTGCATTGGGCACACGTCCTTCACCCACCAATACATCATCAAGAAAGTCCAACCCCCGACCTGCATCTCTTGTAATGTCCCTCTCTCAGTTAAACATGTTTTAATAACTTGCCCCACATATCAACAATTAAGATCCAAAATTTTCCCTCCACTTTCTGACCTCCATACCATCCTTTCAAAGTATTTTCATGAAATCCCTCCCTTTTTTAAACGAATTAATCTCCAAATTTAATGTATTCTTTCCTTGTCCATCTCCAAATTTTATGCATTCTTTCCTTGTCCTAAATTTTAATTTTCTACTACCCTTTTTGTGACTCCTACTTCTTAAATATTTAAATTATGTTTTTTTGACGATCTCTCCTCATCTACGGTGTTAATGGCTTCAATGTTAAAGCACCAAATAAATGTATTTACCAACCAACCAACCACACATACATACATATATATATACACATGAATTTGAATAGCATATATTTTCGTGATCTACGACCCGTGATCGGTGCTCTTCACAATGTCTCAGGTCTGGGTCCGACATCATGGGAGAATGCAATAGTGTATTTCCTTCGGAAAATACACTAAAATGCAACCTCCTGCCATTCACATCTGGCCACCATCTTTAACTTGGGGCGCCCCCTATGACCGGTGGGGCCTTTTTGAGTTTATATATAAAATAAACGACCAACATTGCATAGAAAATGATACCTCACAAGACACAGAATGAACATTTTAAAATATCGATTTACCGGACCCCCTCATTACGGCCGCTATTTTGAGTCTTCGGTACTTTGAGGGGTATTTCGGGGTCGAACCATGTTTAACAGGAAGTTGTTCAGGAGGACCTACTTATGACATTTACATTGGGAAAGTTTGTTACGCAATTTTTTCCAGGTCAAACCGTACTTTTTCTTACTATTGCACGTCCCTGCTTTTCAGGCCGTACACGTTTTGAAGGATCGGGCATGAAAAAGGGACCTTTTTTCAAACTGAGGCAGTTCTGATGACACTTGTATCCTCAGCACTTGTCTACAGTTCATTTATACCCTTTTTCGACTAATTCACATGAAAAATGAGTATTACATACCGGTACTTTGTAAGATCTCAGAAATTCTGAGCACCAAAAAAATTAATACCGACGTGAGTTTTCCTAAGTTTAATTTAATTTTTATTGTTTACGAAGGTGCTCATCTGAAGTGGAACTTTATTTTCTACAACTTGAGTTCTTTGGCATTTTTCTCGTAAACGCACAATTTCAGCATAAAATCGAGGTCTCAACTTGAAAATCAGAATTTCATCACAGTATTGACCTTCAGCACCATTTAAAATCGTTGAAATTAACCCAAATTTTGGCAAAAAATTTTCTTTTTACCAAGTGGCATCAGTTGCCGCCTACGGAGCGGAACATTTCAAACTTTCAGTTTTTTTAACGCACCCTAAGCCCCCCCATGAATCCTTGAGCTATCATGAATATTAAAGAAATTTCTGTTTAAATCAAAGAGTCATAGGTTTTACCTATAACCGTCTTCTTCGATTAACATTAAAAAAAAACATGGAAAGTAATTTCTAAAGCTCTGTCGCTTGATCCCAGTAAAAAGTAGGATTAAGCAAAATGACCTTGATGCAACCTATATTGAGTGATCTTTCTCAGCATGTGCAGATATCTCTCTCCCACCGTGAACTATCTCTCTCGCACTTACAGGCATCCCTTAAGAGAAACTGGGATTAAGTTTTACCTTGTATTATTAAACTTTCAAAGCTTGTGTTCGGTTTTAAACATTCCAGATATTTTGTACTAGAACTTATGAGATGTTACTCTATATAAAGCTGCTGTTACCACTCACTCTGCCCCCCCTAGATAAAAATTAGCCGAAGCGATTTCCTTTAAAATTGGTACACGCTTAGCTATTGTAATGAGGAGTTGATTAAAATTATTCCCATTCAAATCCGCTGCCTCGGATGCCCGCAAGAGCGAAAAGTTATTTCTCCATATAGTATTACATTGGAGATACACGGTTGTTTACGCGCATCGCGCCGAACAGGTTCAATCCTTTTGCGTAACGTCACTGCCTTAAAGACGAAATTTAAGGTTTTAGGAGGTATTTTTCGACGAATGTTTAGGGAAATTGGTAAACGGGGGTACTTTTCTCGGGGGATCTCGAATTTTTGGTCGGATTTTCAAAATCTCAAAATCCAAGATGGCGGCCGTGGCCTAAAATGCTAAGTCGGCTTCTGTTTGATCGATTTTCGTGAAACTCGGTATCCACAGGTATTCTTCGAAGAGAAACTCGAATTTATGGTCAGATTTTCAAAATTTCCAAATCCAAGATGGCGGCCGTGGCCTAAAATGCTAAGTCGGCTCCTGTTATATCGATTTTCGTGAAACTCGGTATCCACGGGTATTTTTCGACGGGGAACTCGAATTTTCGGTTAGATTTTCAAAATTTCAAAATCCAAGATGGCGGCCGTGGCCTAAAATGCTATATCGCTTCCTGATATCGATCGATTTTTGTGAAATTCGGTATCAGAGGGTATTTTTCGAGGGGAAACTCGAATTTGGACTTCGATTTCAAAAGTTTTAAAATCCACGATGGCAGGCATGGCCTGATGTGATGTCTTGACTTCACTTCGATTGATTTTCGTGAAATTCGGTATCAAGAGGTATTTTTCAACGGAAAACTCGAATTTTTGGTCCGATTTTCAAAATCCAAGATAGCGGTCGTGGTCTCGAGTACTGTGTCCGCTCCTGTTTGATCGATTCTTGTGAAACTCAGTGAAAAAGAAGAAGACGAAGATGTTGTCTTCTATTTTTAGTTAAAAACTATGTGGGGCGGGGACAGCTTGCGGAGCTAGTCGCAAGTTCATCGCGAAGCAAAGAACCAGGGATCAATCCTGGCTAGTATCTTCGGTATCTGTATTATACTTATATATCTGTTGAGATATTTTAAAAATCACTGATTTTGGAGCCAGATTTTAGCAGCACGACATGATTGATTTTTTTTTAGTCTAAAGCTGAGGATTCACCTGAAATTTATAGACACAAAGGTGGTTAGGTCTCATTTTGCTTATTTTTGCATTGTAGAAAAATTTAGCCTTTGAGTAGCAATATTAACAAAATTGTGAGTTATTTGTGAGACAAAATAAATTTATTTCGATAATTTCGGAAAGAAATGGAGGAATTGATGCTTTGTGATTACCAGTTAAAGCTATGGTGAGGAGTCTATTTTCATGAGTTGGGTGCCATGAGAAGGATGTTAACAAAGATGCTGATCCAGGCTGCACACTTCTTTCTAGGACTGATGGTTCTGTTTCATCCACAGATTGTTGAATATCATGAAGATAAATTGCTGAGCTATCATGTTGCAAAGAGCCCAATAAATTGTGCCTATAATTTATCATAGAAGTAAACGGATACAATTAATGGAGCAATGAATGATCCTATGAGTTTGACTAAGGACTCCTTAAAATTGCACCTCCCTTCGGTGCCACTCAATTAAGATTGTCATAATTGTCGAAAAAGTACGCTCACTCATCAAATTAAGAATCCTTATTCTCTCTCTTGAAATTCTTCTTGAAATAAGAACTATATTTCCAGGTGTGGACTGTAGAGCTAACATTATTCTATTTCTATACAGTTGGATTACGCAAAATCATTGTATAAATTAGTGTAAATGTGGTGGCAAAGGTGTTGTAAAAACGCCTTAAACAGTTACACGCTAATTTATTACTCCTTGTTTCAATTTACATATTATGGCTTTTGCAAACCATTTTGAAAACCTTCTAGAAATTCAGAGAGTTGAAATGCATCATATTAACGAATGAGTGTATAGTCAATTGAAAAAAGAGATAAGTATTGTGAAAAAAACCTCAAGATGTACAATTTGTATTTAGACAATTAGTATTCATAAGATAAGACTACACAATGTGTCTAATTTTCTAAAAAGAACAACTTCTCAAAGACGTATTTACGACGCTTTTGAAGAATTAGCAAGCATCTCATGTAGGAGAAAAAATGAGCATAGAATCGAGTAAAACTTTTCCTTGCAAACATAGGGTATGCATGCACTTACTAGTGATGAATTGTCGAACCTCCACTGTCATTAAAGAATTTTTGTGAGTAATAAAATGACCAAATTAGGGGTATTTTATACGTTGTCAAAGTCATTGCAAGCATCACACAACAAGAAATGGAAAACCTAATGACCAAGTACAATTTTACCTTCTATACAAATGTTGTGAACTTGCTTTGGATAAATTTTTGGACCTCCTTGAACATTACATGGTGTCAACAAATTTTCAAGAGCAAAAAAGCAGCAAAATTGAGTTGTTTTTTACTCTTTCCGTGCATTTCTTTGTAAATAAAAAGTTATGAGAATTTTTGTACCCCACTATCATTCGAAGGTGCAAAAATGGAGAAACTCCGGTTTTTACAGCCTTACACTGAAATGTGAAGAGAGAGTGTTCTGAGAAAAAAGAAAACTATCCCTTTACTTTACAAGATGTTAGCTAAGTTTACAGTTTGAATATTTTTAACATAAATGTCTTGTCAATTGTTTAACAATTAATAAAACAAAGTNAACCCCCCCCCCCAAAAAAAAAAATCTCGATCTTAAGGCAGGAAAAGTAGAAGTAATTTGTTTTTAAAATTCTTCGGGCTGCTGTTTTCTTTTATCACATGGCGTACTTTAAGATGACAACTTTTCATTTGGTCAACTGAAAAAATTAGTCCCTCCCTGGGGAACAAAACACACCTGTCACACATACAAAAAGGTTTTACCTGGTAGGACACCATAAAACTTTTGAAACCGTTCTATTCTGAACTAGAGTGAGGACGGGTTTTTCAAAGGTTCGGAAGTCCCAGACTGCAATGTGATTATCCACATGAGAGGCTATCATATTGTCATTATACGATGCAACTGTTAAATCAAAAACTGCTTTTGTTGGTGAAGAACTCATACTTTTGGTTGGATCTACAAGAAAACACGACAAAAATTAAAAATCTTATTCCCAATAGGAATATTTTGCATTCTCCCATGGTGTCAGGGCCACGGCATGAGACCTTGTTTAGAATTAGACCTCTGATGAGCAAGGTGTCTACTGGTACCTCACTATTTAAATTTCTTTATTTATCATTACCTTTTCCTTCCTTATCCCTTACTTCCCTAAAATTCCTTTTCTAAAAATTGTTGCTTTTCTAATACTTTTTCCTTACTTTTTTCTTGATGATGACCTAAAACCTGATTTTAATTTGATCTTAAAATAGATGAGGTTTCACCCATTCAAAAAGGATTAAGAACTCGGTTAGTCCGAGTGAAATTAAATAAATTTGCTTCACATCGCAAGATATCTTCAGGAGCTGCCAAAGGGGTGTTAATGCAATAATTTAAAGCAAAAATGAAAATATTCAGTCGAGCTCTTCGAATATAAAATCGATTTTTGTGTTTTTGGGGCTAAAGTGATGTCGTCAATTTTGTGAGTTTCCATAAAAAATATAGTATAATAAAAAAACAGTATGTAGGAGTTTTTTTGCCAACATGCGTTAAAAAATCAGCCTAAATCAGTTTGTGAAAAAATACAATGTGCAAAATAATTTTGTTCACGAAAAATTGACTGAGAGGGGTTCTGAATAGCTCCGAAGCTCTCTGAAATCAGAAACAGCGTTTTTTTAATGTTTTTTTTTTGTTTTGTTTTTTCGTGCCATTTTACTCAACGATAGGGTGAGAAAAATTTTGACATCATGGGTAATGATATGTATGTAATTTTGACCGAGAAATCGAAGTGATTGATCCTACATTGCTAAAAGGCTTCGGATGCCAAGGTTTGCAGCTTCTTGGGTATGTTTTAATTGTTTTGGTCAATACATTGCCATCCATAGACCATCTTCGGTTTGTAAATTACTCAAATTGCGGTTGTAACTCCATAAATGAACTGTTGGTATCATTTTACTCGATTTTTCAGAGTAGTTTTGGAAAAAGTATAATTTTCCCACAATAAATGTGCCCATGAGACCCGTGTCCTTCTTTTCAAATTTGAATTTTGAAAAATTTGTCATTTTGGGTCTTGATTCATAGGTATACTCGGACGAGAAATCAATTATAGTCAAAGGGCCAGCTGCATTTTTGGCGCCATTCATCTGGCAAGCTTGAAACTTTGCAGAGACAGTTCTGACGTCCATAGTAACGGATTCGGCAATATCAGACCTCAAAAAGGGGGCATCTGGCCGCTGCGCCTCCCGAAAACCGGGAAAAAGTGTGCGATGAAATCGCACGGAAGCAGCATTTTTCGGTTCGTGAAAAGTGTTTTGACGTTATTTTCTAACCTTTATATTGTACGCACGTATAGTTTTGGTACATGTGAACTTATTTTTAGCCCGGCTGACAAATTCGGGTTCATGCGGCTGATTGGCAGACCCCAAAATTGGCTCCGCATGCAATACAAATTTAACGTGAAAATGTAGGCCTGAACGACCCCTCTCAAAAGTGACGCCAGCTCTCCCACTTGCATTAAGACTCTATATACTCTATGATCTAACTGTACAGGTCCTGACCTAAACTAACCTAATCTAACTATACGTGACCCAAACTTCTCCTGTACAACTAATTTTTTAATTTTACTCATAAGGAAAATATTGTTTTGTTCGTTGACACCGTGATCGTTGACACCATGATCAGAGCCCATTTTTGCGTTTTACTGCCTGAGCACGACGTCAAAAATTGTTGACTCCATGATCAGATTTTGGGTTTGTTGACACCATGATCGTTGACACCATGCAACGTTATCCCGTGGAAGCTCTATTATCTCGTTGCTATACTTTTATCATGTAAAACCGAAGAATATGGATGCAATTAAAGGTGATAGATTTTGAGATACCCCTGTTGCTGCAGATAAGGTTGCCGATTGGTAAGATTCTGAATTTGCTCTTCAGAGCTCAAGTGCGCTAAAAACTTGTCGTTGGAGCACACTTACTTTGCAGCCTTTTGAGGGTATTTCTAAGTCTCTTAACCATTTTTATCGAAGACTGTTTAATAACATGAATAATAATGACGTTTATTTTTTGAACTCAGGAAGTAAGTTCCTGACATTAACAGCAAGTGACAAATTTTGTTCATGTAACAAAGCACTAACGATAAGATTCATAGACAATATTTTTAGGAAATATTAAGTGTGACTGAGCCGATAAAATGTCCAAATTCTTTGCGCTCCTTTTGGTTTTCCTCATGTCCAAATGGGTTTCATGGAACTCAGTTTTATCTAATTGTTCAAGATTTCTGGAAATTGAAAGTAACAGCAAATATATCGTAGTGCCAGAAATGAACTTTAGAGGCTCATGACCGAGATAGGTTTGCTTGTTTATTCCCGTGTAATAACTGTGCAAGCGAATTTTTGAGATTCTCAGAATTTGCTTCGGAATCAAAAAGTAAAATTTGAACAATTTTTCACTTAAACTTTGCGAAGAGAAGAAAAGAGGACTCCTATCTTCCTGAGCTACTAAAAAGAGTACACCCTCATTAAATCTAGACCGCCCAAGGAGCATATCCCGTGCGGAGGCTAGTTTTGTCACTACTTAATAGTTTTCAGCAAACCTGCATATGGGATGAAACGCATTTTTTTCAATGATTAATTTTGATTTTCCTCTAAAAGAAATTAAAGCCCATATTATAAGCTTGAACTGGTTTTAATCGAATAAAAAAATTGAAATTTTCTGGCCAAATTTTGCAATTTCAAAAAAGCGAGAATATAGCAAGCGCGCATGCTTTTATCAAATTAGATTTATAATCATCCACACAGTATAAAATGGTAAGTGTTTTCATAATTTTTGGTGATGATTGCAGCTCAAAATCTACATTGCCCCGTCAGCCGCGTCATTATCGGGTAGGTAACTTGGCAACACCGCACAAGGAGATGCAATTCTTTAAGAGAGGGCCATAGAGTACAATAGAGTCGCAATGTACTGGAGCGCCGATGAGGTCAATCCATTAACGGGCCTTTCCGAGCCGCTTGTGCTCCGAAAAGGGTGAACCAAGTGTGAACCCAACGGCACTGATTAGCATGGTGGCTTACGAAGAAATCAAGAACTGCTTGTGTTTTTTTGACATTTTTAATTCAATCAGCATTAATTTTTGCAAATTTTGCTATTAACAGGTAGTCAAAGCCATAGTGAATCCATTAATGTATCATACTCCTGAATAATATTCAAAAAGGAACGTAAATTACTTAACCCAAGTGTGAACCGACCGGCATTTCTTATCACGGCGCGGCTTACGGGAAAAGCAACGACTGCTTGTGTTTTTTTCAAATTTTTTTAATTCAATTGATATTAATTTGTGCAAATTTAGCCATAATTAGGTAGTCAAAGCCATAATGAATCTATTCATGTATGTTACTCCTGGATTTTATTCATACAGGGATTTAATTTCTGACTTATACAAAGTGTGAACCAATCGGCATTTTTTAACACGGTGGCTTATGGAGAAATCAACGACTGCTTGTGTTTTTTCGACTTTTTTAATTCCATCTATATTAATTTGTGCAAATTTTGCTTGAAATAGATATTCAGAGCCATAATGAATCCATTAATGCATGTCACTCCTGGATAATATTCATATATGGACTCAATTTCCGACTTATTACCGGCCTACTTTGCCGATTCAATGTGTGTGGACCTAGCCGACGAACGGAGCCGAGTCGGGAGTGGGGAGCGCCGAGCGCGAGTCTCTGCGTATGCGTCATCGCTAGTCGCCGCACATTAGTCCCCGGAGAACTGGACAAAACAGCCTCGAAAAGTGACTTCATCGGCGATCCAGTACTTTGCTCCCCACTCTATGGGGAGGGCTTGAAACTTTTGAGGATATCAATTTACATGTCAGCGATATGATGTCAACGATCATAGTGTCATCAAACAGTTTTTCTAAGTTTTTGTTGACACCATGAACATCCAAAAAAAATTCTGACTTATATAAAAGATGATGATGGCGTCAACGAAACTTAAAGCTTCTCTAAATAACATCTTTCAAATTACAAGTCTTCTTTTTCTTGTGCTATTACTCTAACCTAACATAACCTAACCTTACCTACCTAATCTAACCGTACAGGTCCCGATCTAAACCAACCTAATCTAATTACATATAAACGTGACCCAAACCTCTCCAGTAGACTTAACCTTCTATTGCACATGTACACATGTACAGGGTTATCCAAAAGTCACTGACCACCCCTGTAACTTTTGTCCAAATTGAGATGGAAGTTTGAAACTTTGGGAATGTTCCTCGGTCTAAGGTAGCAACTTTTTGGTCCCCCCAAAATTTTGAGGGGCGGCCCCCCTTAAGGGGGGCGGGGGCTAACTTTTTTTTTCAAATGGCAACCCCCCCCCTTTGTGATACCTCATTCAAAAGATAATTAAAAAAGAAAATTTTTGGCGCAAACCGCAGGTCAAAATGTTCATTTTTGACAAAATGGCGGCCGGTCAAAGTTCAAAATGGCGGAAATTTGGCATCTCCGTTGTTTATGGACGGATTGGTGTGAAACTCGGAATTCTAGGGTTTTTTGAGATGAGAAAAACGATTCTGGCATTGGTTTTCCAGAAAAGTCAGTCCTTTTCAAAATGGTGGCGATCAAAATGGCGGCCTAGAGCGGGAAGTAGATATTTAGGCTGCATATCGTTGGATTTGCATGAAACTTGGTATCTGGGGGTGTTTCGGCACGAGAAGAACGCATCTTTCATTGGATATCTGAAATTTTGACAAATTCCAAAATGGCGGCGGAAAAATGGCGGGAAATCAGTTTTACGGCTGTTTACCAATGGATTAGCATGAAATTCGATATCCTGGCGGTTTTTGGCTGGATTAAAAGGAATTTTTCAATAGATTCTTGAAATATCAAATAATTTCATGCTAATCCATTGGTAAAGAGCCGTAAAACTGATTTCCCGCCATTTTTCCGCCGCCATTTTGGAATTTGTCAAAATTTCAGA